GCTGAGAGGGTCCGAGCAGCAGTAGCAGCAGCACTACTACACTGACGCCTCCGGCTATTAGTTGCGCCTTTTTGCGCAATCGAGAGACAGGAAAGAAGAAGCCGCAGTTCGGCGTGGCAACTAGGGCGGGTGGCATCGCAGAGGCGCCTCGGGATGCAGGCGCGGCCGTTCGCAGATGCCATGGCAATCAATCGAACGTATAGAAGGTATCAAGGCATGTGGCGATCCTGAACCCCTCCTTTCAAAACAGCGTGGCCATGGCCATAGGGAGAGGGAAATGGGGGGATGAGCTGCAGCCGGTACGCTTTCAGGCCGATTCAGCCTGCGTTGCAGGCCCGCTCGCTCAGTCCGGTGGTCCTCTTTTAGTTTGATGATACCGCGGCCTGTTGCCCAGGCCCATGCCCGTGCCTTTTAGTCTCTCTTATTGCAACCTCATAAAAATCCTCCGAAATAGAAGGCGATGTAGCGACGGGACAAAGAGGCAGCAAATCCCTAGGTATTCCATCAACCTCGGCTTGCTGCGTGCTAGTCTGAGCCTAGACCGCTCGCCTCGCCGGCAGTGGTGGTAGTAGTTAGTGGTGTTGTTCCTCTGATGACCAGCGGCCAGCCCATCGCATATTATCCCACAATTTTCCGATTTTGGCCAACCGACTCTCCCCCTCTCATCACCACATACTGTACAATACGTGACAGGGTTGTAACCTACCCTTTTTTTCTACTATGATAATACGTAAATGCCATCATCGGCGCACGCCGGCTGCCACCACAAGAACAATCAAAACACTTCCCCCTCCCACCCCTCCCCCTCAATCGCCCAACGCGCGTTTGCGTGCATAAACATGATGTGCGCCGGATATGCAGGCGCTCTTCCCCCTCGCGGGAAGAATGGAGGGGGGATTCTTTTTTTCTTGTCTCCCACCTACCTGCCTACCCAGCCCTAAGTACCACTACTGTACCTGAATTCGAAGCCATCATCGCGATCGGTACAGTACGATCCCTCGGACTGTAGATACCTCGTCCCGCATTTTGCAAAAGAAAAAAAAAGAATATTATATATAAAAAATAAAAAAACACGACGGCGGACATCGTGGCCTTGAGTATACAATGTATGTACATGTACATACCTGCGAAGTACGTCTGGCAATGATGGATGGTGGGGTTTGTTTATTGGGACACAGTATTTCCCCCGTTGCATGTTTGCGCGTGTGTGTTTGTTCCCCGCGGGGGGGGGGGTGTCATCGTATGTGTGTACAATACCTACATGATGAATGCGCGAGTGGTTGTGTTGTCTGCAGGTATCGTATATTCAGGGCTAGAGGGGCAGAGGGAGAGGGAGAGGGAAAGTCGAACCATCCTGCCGACCCCGCGCCAAAACATCGAATGATGATACCCGAGCGATGGCCTTATGTTTTCTTTTTTTCTTTTCCTTTTTCTTTTCTTTCTTTTTACCCCTCCTCCCCAGTTTCGCTTTTTCCTTTCCGTCCCGTTCGTTTCCTGTCTTACTTTCGTCCGGAAGCGATGGTGATGATACCTGCGGAAGCAACGTACTCACGTACATGGCTGTCCGACTTATTGCCACGGACCGCGTGGGGACTGGGTTCTTTTCCCACTCCCCTTCCCTTCCCTCCCGTTGACGTATGGGAGCGTGGCCGGCGAATTATCTTGCCCTTTCTGTCGTCCCAGTTTTGCGGGATGTTCGGACTCGGTGAAAAGCGTGCAGCACGAGTCTGGGTTGCACAACATGCTGGAGGACACTCGAAGAGGAGACCTAAGCCGTCAGCAAGCATTGTTATTGTTCCTGTTTCCCAATTCTTCTCCCCTTACGGCTTCTCAGCGGGCGCAATTCCTAGGTACGAGAGTCTTCCTCCTATCCCACCCTTCCGTATTGTCCGCCCCCCCCCCCCCCTCCGGAGTCACTGCTCCGGCCCGGCCGCACACACGCACAGAGACAGAGATATGAGGAGGAGGAGAGAGAGAGGCCACTAAAGAGGCCCCTATGTATGTGCGGTCGGACGGCTATGTAACGGCCCGCGCGGCGGCCCGTATGGACCTTTCGCAGCGCATCCATAGCATTCCGCTCACCGAGTTTACTATTACACCTGTCTGCTACTTTGTTACTATGTTCACACACAAAAGGAACAATGAGGTACGGACAAAGCCCATAGGGTACTTGTTGACTTGGCTTAGCTTGACTTGACTTACCTTTGAAGGTACTTGAAGTGTTTTTTTTTGAGAGCCTAGCCCTCTGTTTTCCGGTGTGGGATTTGTAAATGGGGTGGATGGACGTCTTGTCCTGCGCCGTTTGTAGTCTCTGCCCTGTGATCTAGGGCAGGCAGAAAAGCAGACAACTAAGTGTGTCACGATGGCCAGACGGTCTTGTCTCGTTTCCCCGTGGGGTGATGTTGCTGATGCTGTCCTCGTCATTGTTTTTATTTTTGTGTACAATTCTACCTCTTCTTGCGTGTCTGTCTGTGGGTGCGATTTGCCACCAACACCCACCGGTTCCGGGCTGAATGGGAATTATTGCTGGCATGCTGTGTGACGGGGACCAGAGTACCAAAGGCACGTATGAAAGTCTCCGTGTATTGCACCTCTGACTGTCACCTGAAATACAGGCAAGAGCCGGCCACAGTGAGTTGCAGCTGCAAGCATCCGTGTCTAATTTGTTTATTTGTTATCGTTTATCTTGCTTTCTCTGTAGAAGGGGAGACAAATGTACTGCCTGCTTTTCACGTATGACGATTGCTTACAGCTAGCTTTATCAAGTCACATTATCAGAATGTCAGCTTTGGCGCATGGACGAATGAACTATGTAAGGGATGGTATTGCATGCTTGAGGCTGTGAAGAAATGTGAACAAGAAGAAAATACTAGATTCTTTTTTTGCTTCTTTCTATGGGTATGTAATATTTGGGTTTCAAGGCGCCTCGAGTCTCAACCGTTTCCTCAGTTATTCTTGCTTAAAGTGGCAGCAACTAGTATCCTTTCCAGCCAAATGTCTGGCCTTACCTAAGGGGTTCGGTTGAGATAGACGTGTCCTGGTATTGTTGATAAAACCGTCCTGTGTATTGTTGAATAATATGTACTTCATATATAGATAGGAAACTTTGTATGCCCAGTACCTAACTAACGGGCTAGCTTCCCCAGATTCCTATGGATGCTGGTGCAGGTCGCAAGATGTAGTTTCTTTTCTTCCTCCTTTCCTTTAGTTTTCTTCTTGGGCTTCCTCTCCATAGCACCGAGGAGCGAGAAACGCCTCGTCGTAGTTGTTTCTATTTGTTCTTCTCGTTATGCCAGGGCAAAGACCAACCCCTGACACTCTATCCTGTCTTTTGCCATGTCTCCCAACGCGAGGCAAAGAGAAAGGGGGGGAAGCCCAAAGTTTAGCCCGTAGGTGTTGGGTGCTAGATGAGAGACTATGTTGACGGGAAGTTGACGGGTCTTCTGAGATGGTTCAGGACACTATTGGCAGCGCCCTTTTATGGTATGGTTTCACTGTTGCCATTGATGACCAGGGGCGTGGGAGTCTACTGGCCGAGCCGGGAAAGGAATCCGAAAGTTGATTTTCTTGAGCTTTAACTCTTATCCTTTCTCTGTCTTGTTGTTCAAGGTCCCAGGCTACAGTGTTATTGACTTACTGGTGAGATAGGCTTTATGGATTATGTTTATGATCTTGTTTCTATTATTGACATTGCCCTCTCTTGGTAGATCTGGCGAACGAATGCTCGGTGACTTGCCAAGGCTGGTTAACCACTGCTCTTGGTAGTTATTTGATAAGGCGCTCTCGGTTCTCGATCCTAAAGAGGCATGGAAAATGCGGACGAATGGTGAGTTTCTGAATGGATTTAACTGTTTCAAGAGAATTGGACCAGGTACTTGTAAGAGGTTCTCCAACTGAGGCTTTTCGGATGCCCATCATAGTTAAGGGTCGTATTTAAACATACAATGGAAATATCTCCGGGTTAACAACAAAATTATATTTGGGATATCCCTTTCTCTAAACCATCAGACTATGGGATAGCTTTATTCACGAGTCGTCCGGATTGATAGACGTACAACTTATAATTATGTTAGTTCGCGGCAAATGCGTGTGCTTGCTTTTAGCGTGTGCGTGGTGATGGGTATAAGCTATTTCACTTTTGTGTGTGATAGATCTAACTCTGGAAGTCCCTCCTTGAGCATAGTCTCCCAGAGCAGACGAAATATTATATTACATTTATATGTTATGTTAGTTAAGTTGTAATTTTCATGTTAATATATCCAGGAGTGCAAACTCAATGGTGTAATCTGAAGCTGCTAGAATTCTAGTGAGGGTGGCCTTGATGGTAAATAGGATTACCTAACCTTGGCTCTTGGGTTCAAGTGGAAAGACTCCCATCTGTAACTAAGAATAGCAGGCAGACCACAACTGTTAGTTCTATACTAGATCAAGATGAATATAATATGCTAGACCTTTAGAAGAGGGAAAGTGGTTTGCAGAACGCCATGTTGCGCCGTGTCTTCGTGTCTTCGTTCCCCTCTGGCAGTTACAGAAGACTTCCAAGTCAAAGATAATGCCGAGTGAAAAGCTAATTAGCTGCCTTGCGCTTTATCTTTTGGGGTGAGCAGAGTGACAGAATCCCGAGAAAGAGTCTAAAGTGGTCTCGTTCCAAGATCAATGGGCAATAGCAAAACGGTGTAACTCGGCCTCCCACTTCACTCGCCCGGAAATAATACCGGCCTACCTAGGTACCTAGACGCTCGACTTTCCTGTTGAGCACGGGATGGATAGCCGCGAGAGACCCTTATTGCCACAGTCTTCTTCATTTTTCTTATTTATCTCTCTCTTGTTCTCTCCTCAATAGTTGGTGCCGTTCTTGTTGTTTCTATTCCTCTCTATCAGGGAGGCTTCAACGTAAAACCCTACCCCTGGTTTTTAAAGTCTACAGAATCTAAGTTGCGGGCCACAAAACATGGGACGACAAAATAGAGATATCAAGCAAAAAGAAAATGGGACGTTTGAGGTCATGCCCGGGTTCGAACCGGGGTTACTGGAAGACTTGAAAGCGGGGCGCCAACTTGCGGCGCCCATGTCAAAATCCAGAGTGATAACCACTACACTACACAACCGTTGGGGACATTCGAGGTTGTTGAGTTTCGGTCTGGTTATACGTATTTAATAAGCCGCCCATCCAGTCCTTTAGAGTTTGGTTTTGCTATCTGGAAACGACTTCGTTTTAAACTTCCTCCATGCTAGTATTCAGGGAAAAAATCCCGTTCTCCATCCTACCCTAGTCCAAACCCATTACCTGCAGGCAATGGTGATGCTAACATTGATACAGATAAATATACCGAGACTTGCAATGACGTGGTCAAGTTGTGTCAAAGTGGTAAAGTCGAAAGGCTCTCACCGAGGTAACAAATGCCCCCTAAAGTAAACCCCCAGACTCCTTACTAGCTATTACTAGGTACGAGTGCCTATTTGCGTGCAACATATGCATTACCTTGAGCGTAAATCTGCTCGGATTCAATCCGGACTTTTAGTTTGGACATTGGCCAGAAGACGCGTTGGAACATGCAAGTTGTCCTGTTAAAGCGCCCCCCAGAGAGGAAATGACGCCGCCGCAAAGCGACCGAATAGGGACCGCCAAGCATCAAAGCGTAGTCTGTTCCTCTGGCTGAGGTTGCAGCCCGGCGGATTTGCACTAGGATTTGCGGTGATCCTACCAGTAACGGCGGGTTTTGGTGTGTTACGCAGACCCGGTTGCCAGTTGGCGCGGCCATCAGAGACAGATCCAAAAGAAAAAAACCGTTTGATCCCGGTGGTCTGGCAACGGCATACGGGCGAAAACGCCATCCATCAATGAGGTGGTTTGGATGTTAGACCCAGCAGCGGCTCTCTTGCTCTCTTTAAGTCGCTGGAAGGCAGCCCGTGAAATTGCACTATCTACCCGCAACCTCTGGGCAAGACCGGCCCGTAGCGGGCCAGGCCCAGGGCAAGGTTAGCGGGCGGGCAGACTTCAAGCCATTGGCGTCATGCGCCTGGAACCTTTGCCGCTCCCTGTCGCGTATTTATGGCCTTTCCCGAAGTCGTCCCAAGGCTAGGCGCCCTGGCCGGTCCCATTGTCGGTAGCCGCTACCTGTGGCTTTGGCGGTTTTGGACTTTAGGGTCTGCGACGGGCGATTTACGGAGAGATGATGTGTGTCAAACCCCACACTTGCACTACCTAAGTGTGATATCCTAGCGATTCCCAGTCCGCCCAGAGAGAAACAACGTTTGAATTTCTCCAACTCTCGTCGTATCGAATCGTACGAAGTCCTCTCTCTGGGCTCCGGCGCGTGGTTAGGTGCCATAGGAATGGAAATGGAAAGGAACAGCGCCATCCTGCAGGTCCGCTGCCGACGGGCTGCAGGATGCGTGGGGACCTGCAGGTGTCAGGGACCAGACCCAACGTTATTAGCTCCCCGCCTTTTTCCATAAATTAAATCTCACAAGCAAATTGCAGCTATTGGGTAGAGCTTCCCAACCTGTCACCTGGAGGTGAGATTATAGATAAGCCCGGCCGTCGAAAAGGAGGCGGCGGGCAGCATTCTCTTCCATTGCTCCAAAGATGAAATTGGCTGCTCCCAAGGGAACGGAGCTAGCGACCTAACTGTGGGATCACTAGGTGGTCAATACTGTAAACTGTTAGGCCCGTGAGGCTTGGACTGATTCTTCCGGTGTCCCTGTTCCAGAAAAAATTCAAGGGGCGTTACCTATTGTTCCCGGCTAGCTAGACTAACCCCAAAACACCCGCCGAGCCAAGCTGTTCCTGCATCGGCCGTTGGCCCCTCGGCACCCGAGGGCTTCTCCTGGCCTCCGTTTCTGTCGTGCCACCATCATGCTCATTTTTCTTCCTGTCCCTTTGGTTCATCTTGTCAGCTATCTCTAGGTAAATCTGCCGAGAAGGGCATGCATCGGCGTCTCTGTCCTGTCGAACGCGTAGTTCTGGAGCGGGCCGGCCTCGATCTTACGGTTTCAGTATTTCCGGTCCCATCGATGAAACAATAGACAGCAATCGCGTCCTTGCCAAGACTTACCAGCTCTACCCTCAACAGCCTCGACGGCCTCGACCGCGCGACCGCGACCCAGGAGCTCGGCCAGCCTCTCACCTTCCGGCCGCCAGCGAGACACCCCTGCCTCTTTCCCTCGAAAGTATACCAAGTGCGCCCCCCCTTGGAAAAGTCGGGCGAAGTGGGTTTTCGAAGGTCTGAGGATTGGGGACGTCTGGACAGGAACATCCTCGCTCGCGTTCGACACCACGGCTTTTTGGGCAGCGAAAATTCAGGACGAAACCTCGCGCCGCAACTCGGCTCCCCGTCTTGGAGTCTTGGACTACTAATCAATTGATATATATTCCGCTCCTTTTTGGTACTTGGAGTACGACTTGCCGCGCACCGACATTTCTGGTTCCCCTTCTATAGGATCCCGAGCCGTGGGCTTCGGGATGGAGCTGGACCAGGACGAACGAGATACGCGGCAGTCCCAGGCAGCAGCGACGCCGGCATCGAGCGATGATGGCGGCCCCGTGCGTGCCAATTCGTCGCCCCCTGCCGCCGAGAGTCAGAAGAGGGCTTTAGATCACGACTCACTTGTGACGGTCCGCCTCTCCGAGCCCCCGTCGCTGTATGTGAATACATCGGTCCCTCCGAACACGCTTCCGTCCCGACGGAGCCTGTACGGCCTCGACTACACTCCAAGCGATACCTTGACCGAGCCTGTACCCGAAGAGGACGACGGCGGCGTGCTTGAGCATTTCGAAACGGACTCACCCGCCTCGGATAAGGGCCGGAGCCTCCAGGAGGAACTCGAGCAGATGGACAGCGAGGACGGCGAGGAAAAGGATAGCGAAATGCAAGAGCTCCAACCACGTTCCAGCTCCGAATCAGACAGCGTCAAGTGGGATGAGCTCCAGAAGACGGAAGACTCGGAGTCAAGAGAGCAGGACTCTGATAATGTAGGTGCAGCTCATCGCTCATTTTGTCTCCTTTGTTTGCCCCTTTTAGCTTGGCGCAACTCAACTGACAATCTTTCTTTCTCTATAGTCTACAGCGCTGCTGCTCGCAAAACTTGACCAAGAGAACAACAAAATTGCCAAGAATCCAAAGAGCTTCAAGGTCAAGGTGGTAGAAAATGACGAACCATCGTCAGGAGGCCAGCCAAGGCCTCCCTCGATGGCCCAGCTACGGAAAATGGTCCACGGGCCTACGCCTTCGGCTCTTCGATACTCGGTCCTCCCGCCGCCGCCAATGACAGATCTCGAATTCTATCTTGCGCTGGTCAAAGACCCCCAGCAGACAGCAGCTCGACTGCCGACGCTGCTTTCCAACAAGATCCGCAGAGGCGTCCCTCCGCCGCTTCGGGGCGTGGTCTGGCAGAGCATGGCGGGCGCCCGGGATGGCTCCCTGGAGGAAATCTACGACAGGCTGTCGGGCGAGTCCAGCCCGTATGAGGGCATCATCGGCAAGGACATTGGACGGAGCTTTCCCGGCGTCGACATGTTCAGAGACCCAGAAGGCGATGGCCAACGGATGCTGGCTCGGGTTCTCAAGTGCTTCAGTCTCTATGACACCAAGATTGGTTACTGCCAGGGGCTTGGATTCCTGGTTGGACCACTCCTAATGCACATGCCCGACAAGCCTGCGTTCTGCGTCCTGGTCAGGTAAGAGAAAGACCCATTCAATCCATTTCAGTGGTAGCGAGGAACGCCCCGATCGCCAAGTCTTTGAAGCTAACGTGTGTGGTGGGTGCAACTAGATTGATGGAAAACTACGATCTTCGCCATTGTTTTGTTCCCGACCTGTCAGGACTGCATGTTCGGATTTATCAATTTCGGGAGCTGCTGCGCGAGTTTCTACCCACATTGTCGGCTCACCTTGACGACTTGCAGGTTGATCCCGCCTATGTTTCACAATGGTTCTTGTCTTTTTTCGCCGTAACATGCCCCCTACCGATGCTGTTTCGCATCTACGATGTGATCTTCGCCGAGGGCGCGTCGGAGACAATCATGCGAGTGGCTCTGTCGCTCATGCGCAAAAACCAGGCCCGCATCCTAGCTAGCACCGAGATGGAGGACGTAATGCACCTTCTCCTCTCGCGCGGCCTCTGGGATTGCTATCACTACAACGCCGACGAATTTGTCGAGGACTTTGTCAATCTCTCGGGCGTTGTCACCAAAGAGCGGATGGCAGCGCTCGAACAGGGGTACAGGGAGGCTAAGATCAATTCGGGCGCCAATTCCAAGAGCACCGATGCGACACAGGTGTCAGACGTTACCACGGCAGCCTCCCGCTTCTTGGGCCGCCTGTGGGCTTCCTCAACAACACCCAAATCCGCCGCGCTCACTCAGACGGCCGCATCGGCGCAATCAGGACTCGCCGCACCGGCCGCTACCACCGGCAATACCCTCAGTCCTGGCCTGAGCCTGGCCTCGCGCCCGCTGAGCATGCTCCGGAGGAGCACATCCAAGCAGAGCTTGGCTTCGACGCTCAACTCGATGGAAGTTGCATCTCTGGCGAGCTCGTCGTCCGCCGCCAGCGTCCTAAGCGCTGCATCTACTGATGCCACCTCCATCTCCCGAGACAGCTCCGCCGACGATTTATCCCGCGAACCATCGCCAGCATTCGTGACCGCGACACCCAAACCAGCGCCAACGTCGCTCTCAAACAGCGCCGCAAGCGCCAAGTCCGACAGCAAATACCTGCACAGTCAGATTGAAGATCTCCTCACAGTACTCGGCGAGCTTCAGAGGAATCATTCGCTGTTGGCCAGCCAGCTGCAGAGGGAGAGAGAAGAACGCGAAGAAGACCGGAGGGCGGTGAGGTCGCTTTTAGATGGGCTGCGGATAAAGGCGAGCACCGAGACAGCGCCGACGTGGGGCCGGAGCGACAGTGAAGAAACAATAACGGGGGCGAAAGATGCATTGGGTGCACCGTCTGGAGATGAAGTCTCACAGCAACAACCCCCGCCTACACCTGAGCAGCTATCGGACCTGCTCGAAGTTGTCGAAGGGCGCTTTGGCGAGTCGGAAGCTAGTCGAAGGTCCTCAGTGCCGCAAACCAAGTTGCAACTTCGGGATGAGCTGGCTCGG